ATCCATCCATCCATCTACACACATACACATACATATAATTTTTTCCCTCCAACTACCCTAATACTGACAAAGGTTTCATGAGTTATAAATATCATCTTTCCATGCAGGAATGTAAACAGTTCAACTTAATAAGTCTCTTATGATTTCTCTTTCCTGTTTACCTCTTCATGTTCCACTTGAGTCTTGTATTTGAAAGTCAAATTTTCTATTCAGCTCTGGTCTTTTCATCAAGAATGCTTGAAAGTCCTCTATTTCACTGAATGACCATTTTTTCCCCTGAAGGATTATACTCAGTTTTGCTGGGTAGGTGATTCTTGGTTGTAATCCTATCTCCTTTGCCCTCCAGAATATTATATTCCATGCCCTCCGGTCCCTTAATGTAGAAGCTGCTAAATCTTGTGTTATCCTGATTGTGTTTCCACAATACTTGAATTGTTTCTTTCTGGCTGCTTGTAATATTTTCTCCTTGACCTGGGAACTCTGGAATTTGGCTACAATATTCCTAGGAGTTTTCCTTTGGGGATCTCTTTCAGGAGGAGATCTGTGGATTCTTTCAATTTCTATTTTGCCCTCTGGTTCTAAAATATCAGGGCAGTTTTCCTTGATAATTTCTTGAAAGATGATGTCTAGGCTCTTTTTTTGATCATGGCTTTCAGATAGTCCAATAATTTTTAAATTCTCTCTCCTGGATCTATTTTCCAGGTCAGTTGTTTTTCCAATGAGATATTTCACATTGTTTTCTAATTTTTCATTCTTTTGGATTTGTTTTACAGTGTCTTGATTTCTCATAAAGTCACTATCTTCCAATTGCTCTATTCTAATTTTTAAGGAAGTATTTTCTTCAGTAATCTTTTGGACTTCCTTTTCCATTTGGCCAATTTTTCTTTTTAGGGCATTTCTCCTCATTGGCTTTTTGGACCTCTTTTGCCATTTGGGTTAGGCTATTTTTTAAGGTGTTATTTTCTTCAGTATTTTTTTGGGTCTCCTTTAGCAAGCTGTTGACTTGTTTTTCATGATTTTCTTGCATCACTCTCATTTCTCTTCCCAGTTTTTCCTCTACTTCTCTTACTTGCTTCTCAAAATCCTTTTTGAGCTCTTCCAAGGCCTGGGACTGATTCATATTTTTCTTGGAGGCTTTGGATGTAGGAGCTTTGTTTGTCTTCTTCTTTGTATTTTGATCTTCTTTGTTACCAAAAAAGATTCTATGGTCTGACACTTCTTGCGAGGTTTGCTTATGATCCCAGACAATTACTTGAGTTATAAACTCTTTATTAAGGTACAGATCTGCTTCCAATGTGGAGAGCGTACCGTCCCAAGCTTCAGGGATTTGTACAGCTGTTTTCAGAGATACTTCTAGGGACCTGTAAATTTTCAGTTCTTCCAAGGTGGTATGATAAGGGGCAAGGTGTTTACTCCTTTCCTGGCCTGTGCTCTGGTCTATGAGTGACCACAAGCACTCTTTTCTGTCTTGGAACTGTGAGGAGGATTTTCTCTTTACCACCACTACAAGCTGTACCACACCAGCACTCCTAGCCCCAGGACTGCCCCTCAGAGCTGTGATCTAGATCCAAGCACAGGCAAAGCAAGAGATTCCTGCCTCAGCACTGGCAAAGAGATCCATGCAATCCCCTCTGATCAGCCACCTGATTCCCCCTCAGTCTGTGGGCCAGAAACTCAGGAAGCAGCCACCCCAGAGCCACACTCGGGAACTGGGGCTGAGACCTAGCTTCTCTCTCACTACAGAAACAGACTTTTCCCACTGACCTTCTAAGTTATCCTTTGGCGTTTGTGGGTTAAGAAGTAAGGAAACCGACACAGCTGCCGCAATTCAGTCCTCTAAGGCCTGCTCCAGGTTCGCTGTGGTCTGCGCGCCCACACCACACTGCACTCCTCTCCCAGCCCAATGCAAATACCTTTCCAATCAATCTGCCAGGTTGTCTTGGGCTGGAAATTTGTTTCACTCTTTTTGTGGGTTCTGCTGCTTTAGAATTTGTTTAGAGCCATTTTTGACAGGCATTTGGAGGGTTTGGGGGAGAGCTCAAGCAAGTCACTGCTTTCACTCCACCACCTTGGCTCTGCCCCTGCTTGACTCATATTTGTTGTTATTGAGTTGTTTCAGTTGTGTCCTTCTCTTTCTGACCCCATTTGGAGTTTTCTTGGCAAAGATACGTAATGGTGTGCCATTTCCTTCTCCATTTTACCAATGAGGAAACCAAGGCAAAAAGGGTTTAGGGACTTGCCCAAGATCACACAGTAAGTGTCTGAGGCCAGGCCCGGTGCTCTATTCACTGTGCCACCTGGCTGCCCCGGCTCATAACAGGACTTTTAACAAACACTTTTTTAGTAAATGAATAAACATTAAGTTAGTGAACAGTTTACAAGATTTCTCTCCCAGCTTTAGGGTTTTGAAAAAGACTAGGCCAGATAAGTTTGCTATAAATGACCATAGCTTTGGAAAACATCATTCTTTTCATATGAGGATAATAAATGCTCAAGTAGAATGAGAAGAAAGAGTGGTTTTGCAATTCTCTTTTCCTCCACAGACAATTCCAGGGCCTCGCTGATTAAGAAGCCTATTCCTCATTCTTTTATTCAGTTCAATAAACATTACATACAGTATTACCTTCCAGGAAGTCCAGCTGAATGATGCACTCTCCAACATTCACACAACGTCTCAAAAGTAGGACATACAGCAGAGCTTATCTCTCTAAAGAAGGAATACTCCTTAAACAAGGGTTCTTAATCTAGAGTCGATGAACCCCTAAGGGGTAGGTAGAAAGATTTCAGAAAGTCCATTAATTTGGATGAGAAAAAAAATACAACTTTATTTTTGTGAACTTCTAAATGAAATATAAAATTTCCTTCAATTATTTAAACGTATTATTCTGAGAAGGGGTCTAACCATAGACTTCAGTAGATTGACAAAGGATCTATGTCATTAAAAAGGTTAAGAATGACTGTTCTACATGAAGAGGTAAACAGGAAAGAGAAATCATAAGAGACTTATTAAGATTGAACTGTTTACATTCCTGCATGGAAAGATGATATTTGTAACTCATGAGAACTTTGTCAGTATTAGGGTAGTTGAAGGAAAAAAATTCTATGTATGTATATATAGATAGATAGAGGGCACAGGGTGAGTTGAAGATTAAGGGGTCATATCTGGAGAATAAAATTAAGGGATGAGAGAGGATGATACTCAGAGAAGAAAGGGAGAAGTAGAATGGGGTAAATTATCTCACAAAAAAAAAACAGAAAAGAAAAGTCTCTCACAGTGGAGGGGAAACAGGGGAAGGTGAGAGGGAATGAGGGAATCTTATTCTCATAGGATTTGGCTTAAGGAGAGAATAACATACACATTCAATTGGGTATGGAAATCTGTCTTACCCTACAGGAAAATAGGGGGAGAAGGGGACAAGAGAGCAGGGGGGTGATAGAGAGGAGGGCAGATCAGGAAAGAGGGTAATCAGAAGCAAATACTTCTGAGGAGGGACAGGGTCAAAAGAAAGAATAGAATAAATGGGAGGGCAGGATAGGATTAAGGATTAAGGGAAACAGAGTTAGTTTTTCAACATGTCTACTAAGGAAGTGTTTTGCATAACTGCACATGTACAACCTATATTGAGTTGCTTGCCTTTTCAATGAGGGTGGGTGGGGAGGGAGGAAGGGAGAAAATTTGGAACTCAAAGTTTTAAAAACACATGTTTTAAAAAAAATGTTTTCACATGCCACTGGGAAATAAGAAATACAGGAAATGGGGTACAGAAGTCTATCCTGCTCTACAGGAAAATAGAAGGAGAAGGGGATAAGAGAAGAGAGGGGGGAGAGATAGAAGAGAAGGCAGACCAGGGGAAGGGGTATTCAGAATGCATGCCATCTTGGGGTGGGGAGAGGGGTGAGAAATTTGGAACTCAAAAACTTGTGGAAGTGAATATTGAAAACTAAAAATAAATAAATTTATAAAAAAGAAAAAGAATGACTGTTCTAGGGGCAGCTAGGTGGTGCAGTGGATAGAGCACCAGTCCTGAAGTCAGGAGGACCTGAGTTTAAATCCAGAGTCAGACCAAACACCTGACACTTACTGTGTGACCTTGGGCAAGTCACTTAACCCCAACTGCCTAAAAAAAAAAAAGAAAAAAAAAGAATGACTGTTCTACAATATGCCCAACAAGAAGTCATCCAGACTTATTTTGGGAACCTCTGTCTAATAAGGAAAAATCTACTATTGTGTGTGGTACCATTTTGTACAGCTCTGGTGTTAGGAAATGTTTCCTTATGTCAAGCTAAAATGTGCTAAAACTTCCATCCATCTTTTCAGGTTCTGTCCCTTACGGCTGAGCCAAAAAGTATGACTTCTCTGTAGCAGTCCATGACATGATTATATACCTACCCTTAACTTTCTCCAACAGCTTCAGTTCTTTCAACTGATCCTCATATGACATGGTCTTAAAGTCCTTTACCACCTAAGTCTCCCTTACTTTGGACATGCGCCCTTTCTGAAAATCCTTCCTAAAATCTGGTATCCAGACTCTTTATGGATTAGGAGAATACATTTATGAGCAGGAATCAGAAATTTTGAAATTGCAGTATTTGCAGTAGCCCACCATTTGCACAGATAAAAACGCCTTTGTGTTCTAACATGGTTTTCCAGGATGGAAGAGTTTTATAAACTATTTCTAAGCCTCCATTTTAGTGTACTACTTATTAAGAAGTCCCTTGGGGATCTACTGAAGTCTTGCAATGCTGTTCTCCCTCAGGGAAATGCTACCCAATCAGCCAGCTGTAACTGCCTTTTTAGACCTCATTTTAGATATCCATACACATGACTCATTTTTATAAGGATAAAAGACTCAGACAGCAATAACCAACAAAAATACTTAGTAAAGCATAAAGTATTATATAAGCACACAAGTTATTTACTTACTCAATGTGAACTGAGGTAATAAGGAAGTAATAACTTAGGAGCTAATAAAGATTGTCTTTATTGATGGTTTTTCCAGCAGACATTGGCTAACCTTTGGCTGAGGATGCTATGGGAAGAGAATTGCTATTAGGTAAGTGGCTAGACTAGATAATCTCTAAGGTCTCTTCCAATTCTAAGTTTACATGATTTTTAGATTCCTTGGGTGTGAGGACTAGACTGTGTCTTATTTCATCTTTGCATCCTCACGGTACAATGCATTGCTCTATAACAAAAACAGGTAATATAGAAACAACTCATATTTATATAACAACAACAGCAATAATAATACCTAACACAGAGAAGGTTAACAAAGCACTTTCTTCACAATAATCCTATGAAGCAAGTAGAGTAGGTATTATTACCCGTTTTTATAAAGGAAGAATCTGAAATTCTGAGAGGTCATATGATCTCACAGCCAGCAAGTTTATGAGAAATGATTTGAGCCCAGGTTTCCTAATTCTAAGACTAGCACTCTATCTACTAAGCTGCATTGCCTCTTCCATACAATATGCATAATAAATGAACTGAAAAAAATTTAAGTGAGCATTTATTTTAGCATACTGAAGACTAATGGTGTAAAGTGCTTTAAAGCTTGCAAAACACTTTATTATAACCTCACCTGAGCATCATGACAACTCTGTGAGGTAGTATTATTCCATGTAATTTTCTAATTATTGCATACATTTTAGGCTGGAATATTATAGCTGAGGTTTTAACATTTTTTAAACCTGAAAATAGCTCGCCAATGCAGTAAAAAGAACATTGAATTCACGAACCTGGGTTCAAATCCTTGCTCTGCTATCTTTGTGGTGCTGGACAACTTCATTTAACCTGAAACTCGGTTTCTTCGCCGTGTAAAACGATGGTGTGGGATGACTTTTAGACTACCCTTCCAGCTCTGACTCTATCATCTTACGAAGCTATGCTTACATGATCCTCTGCTTCCATTTCTATTACTGCTCCATATCTCCACTAACTCTCCCAACTAAACAAAAGTGACCTGAACTTGGGAATCAGCATCAGAAAAGAAGCAATTCAAGAGGTAGAGAGAGAATGAAATTAAGCTTCATAAAAACAGCAGCCTGACCTTTGGCTATATATTCATCCACAATAAAACTTTTTTAATAGGGATTATGGGAGATTAATGGAACTTTACTACAAAACTAAAAAAAAAATCAAAGTAAACCTAAGTTCTTTTGTCCTAATGTTTCAAAGATTTGAGTTACGTTTTGTCAAAATGGTAAAAGGGACTCACTGCCAGTTATACTGAAGGTGAAGACCAGACCTGTGGTTTTCAGTATAGGGAACTCTAGGTGAGGCATATTCTCTCCCCATGTAGACCAGGACTAGGAGCACTAAGAAGTAAAATGACTTGCCCAAGGTCACACAGGTAATAATTGGTAGAGGCAAGACTTGGATCCATATTCGTAGATGAAAAATTCATCATTCTTTTTACTAAGGATTTCCTCCATGAGGAAACTCAGGTTCTGAGAGATACTATGGCTACCTGCCTCCATAAAAAATCTCACAGGACACTTCACACGGGAACACTAACTACCTGACAAAACAGCCTTCCTTAATACAGTGTTCTTCTAGCTGGAAATGAAAGGGGATATCAATAGAAATGTTAATCTCTACTCAAAATAGCACGCCATGTATCTAGCTAGGTTTTGAATCAAAGATTTGTTCAAATTTGGGCAGGCCTTGTTTGCCAGCTTACAAACAAGCCAGCTAAATAGCTTATTTCATCTTTCCAGTCCCCACCATCATGTCTCCCACCCTTGCGGAGTAGCCAGAGGGCTGGGCTTGGAGTCAGGAAGTCTGAAATGCAAATTTGGCTTCAGTTCCTCCCTGGGTAAGTCTATGAACCTTTGTCTGCCTCAGTTTCCTCAACTATAAAATGAGGATAATAATAGCACTTTTCACGAAGAGTGGTTGTGAAGATCAAATGAGATAACATTGGTAAAGTGCTTAGCACTGTTCCTAGCATGCTTGTTTCCTTCCTTCCTTCACAGTGGATGGAGGACTGGACACGCAAGTCAGGCAGACCTCAGTTTGAACTTGTCTCAGAAAAGCAGCAGCAGTATGATCCTGGGAAAGTCATTTAGCCTCTCACAGCTTCAACTTCCTTATCTGTAAAATGATGGGGTGGGAAAGTTGGATTTAATGACTGCTAAGGCCCTTTTCAGATCTAATTCTATTACCCTATCAGCATATAAGCTTATCACCATATAAGCTTTATTATAATTTAAGTGACTACATGACTTAGTTGTCCATTGAAACTGAGTAGCCAACTAAAATCCAATACAGAAGTTTCTATTGAATTCACTAACTACTTTGAAATGATTAGCTAATACATGACCAGGTGCATTTTATATTTTATATTTAAACATATAGTTAAAAAATTTTTTTTCAATTAACAAGCATTCATTTGCTCTCCCTTTCACCCCTCTCCTACCACTGAAAAAAAACAAAAATCTTTGTAACCCATATGTATAACATAACAAATTCCAACACTCAACAACTTATTAAGTTGAGCCAGGGGGAAATCCTCTATTTTGATTAAGCAAAGACTGGTCCTCTCATAAAAAAAAAAACTGAACAAAATCAAAACTATTTGGTCCATTATTCTGACTGCCATAGAATACTTAAGTGTTTCTCTATTACAAAAGGAGAGGCATCTAATTCCTTTATATAGGTATGCAATTTCTCTTAAAAACTACTAATATCTAATATAAATTAGAGACCTTGCTTCCATTATCTACTTGCTGATTTGTCAGAGCATGCTAAAAATTAAAACAAAACAAACAAAAAAACCCCCAAAACCTTCAGTACCTTTTTTTCTGCTATTAAATAAGTGCTACACTAAAGATCACCGCACTAACCTTCATTGTATTTGCTTTGTTTACTCCCTAGATGTACTACTCTCCCAAATCAGTAAATTAATTGCTAGCATAGCTTTTTTATTTTTGAAATGTCTTTAATTTTCCTCAAACAGTAACCACAAATTTTTTTAAAAGCTCAACCCCATAAACAATTGAGAAAAATAACCAATTAGTTGTGAAGTCTAGTACATGCAATATGCCCTTTGGTTATTTGTAAAAAACCTTATAAATGAACTTTAAGAAGAGGGCACTAATATCACCTACTGTATTTACAATACTATTAATTTTGTTGTTTTGTTCTCTCCATGGTTTCTAAATCTTGAGGACCCTTGGCTAATACCAGTTGCTTTAATTAGCCAACTATAATGGTTTTGATAAGTTTCCCTTGACTACCTGGACAAATAAGGTTTTCTTTGAAGGGCAAAAGATTAAATTTTCAATATTCATGAAATAAAAAGCAATTTTCATAGCCCATAGGCTCTTAGCTATATTCCTTCATTTCTGTCTTTGTATCCCTAGCACCTAGAAGAGTGCTTAATAATTCTTAATAAATGCTTCATTGATTCAAGAAAAAGACATAAACCCCTTCACATTTTTGTATGCTGATCAAAAGGGGTAATAAGGAGGTTGACATAAGCTTCTGTCTAGCTCTAATGTAGTCCACCAACATTTTGAAAACAGCCTTATTCCATACACTGGGTCAGCATTAATATAGTATAATAAATTATGTACTATTATTTCAATTACATATAGAATTATAATAAATGTCATATTAATAACTTATAATGGAGTATAAGTTACACAAATTTATCTCTAAGGACTCAAAAAATTGCTAATTATCAGAAAGAGGACCACAGATTCTCAGAGTTGGAAGGGTCTACACTGAAGAGTCCATCCAGTGAGTCCCCCAGCTGAACAAGAATCCGTTTCTAGCACATACCCAACAACTGGTCATCCTACCTTTGCTTGAAGACCTCAAGTAAAAGGGGATGCTACTTTTTGGATATATTTTAATTGTTAGAAAGTTTTTCCTGTGATTTCAGAAAAACTTGGACTTACATGAACTGATGCAAAGTGGAGTGAGCAGAACCATACATAGTAACAGCAATATTGTACGATGATGAACTGTGAACGACTTAGCTATTCTCAGCAACACAATAGTTCAAGGTAATTCTAAAGGACTCATGATGAAAAATGTTATCCACCTCCATAGAAAGAGCTGATGGAGTCTACAGATCAAAGCATACTACTTTGTACTTTATTTTTTTTCATGGTTTTTCTTTTGGTCTGTGGTTTTTTAATATGTTTTGTATAATGCATATGTATAACCTATATCAAATTGCTTACTGTCTCAGGGAGAAAGGAGGGAAGGTAGGAAGGAAGGGAAGGAGGGAGAAAACTTGGAACTCAAAATTTAAAAAAAACGTTAAGAACTGTTTTTACATGTAATTGGGGAAAAAATAAAATATTATTTAAAAAAAAAGTTTTTCCTGACACCAAATTTAAATTTGCCTTTTGTGATTTCCACCCATTGTTCTGTCAAGTAACTGAAAACAGCTATCATGATCTCTCCTGTTTTTTGTAGGCTAAAAATTCCTAGTTCCTTCAATTAAATATCATCTAAAGAAGCCTATCACTCCTCAATGCAATGTTAGATTAATCTGTGTGTTATAGAAGGAGCATGGTGGCATAGAGGAGAGAGACCTGCAATTAAGTAATAAAACAGATACCTACTAGTTAAATTTGACCATGGACAAGTCACTCAACATTTCAAAGCCTTTATTTCCTTGTTATTTTTCAGTCATATCTGACTCTTCATGACCCCATTTGGGGTTTTCTTGGCAAAGATACTGGAATGGTTTGCCATTTCCTTCTCCAGCTCATTTTACAGATGAGGAAGCTGTAACAAACAGGAGCTAAGTGACTTGCAAGGGTCACATAGCTAGTAAATGTCTGATGCCAGATTTGAACTCGGGTCTTCCTGACTGCAGCCCTGGTACTATTATTTATTGTGCCATCTAGCTTTTCCTTATGACGATAGCTTACTGCCAAACACATAGCCCACAAGCTGCAGATGACCCACAAAGTGGGTCTCCAAAGTGCAGCCTGAACCAGATGAAAATGTAGTTCTATCTGATTTTAACGTGCTGATGCATTAGAAAAAAAGAAGAAATATATAAATATATGTGGTTTTCTTAGTCAATATGCAAACTGCCAGCATCCTTAAGTACAGCTTAGTGGCCCCCATTTCTATCTGAGTTTGACATCACTAGTGTAGTGGAAAGAGTGCTGGACTTGGAGACAGAAGACATGAGTTCAAATCTTGACTCCACTGATACCACCTGTGTAATCCTGAACAAATCACTTAACATCTCTGTAGAATGAAAGCACTGGTCTAGATGAACTCTAAAAGTCCCTCCCAGCTCTAAATATATAGTCCTATGATATCTTAAAAAAAATTAAGTTGTTCAAGAAAACTTTAAATGCCTGTATATGGGGGAAATACTTGCACTACTTACCTTATAGAATCCTTGGGAGAAGAATGCTTTGCAAACCTTAGGACCCATACAAAATATGAGATTAGGATCATCATGACCATCATCATTGAGCCCTTACCAAATGGTAGCAATGAATTTTCCAATGGAACTATAAATACAAATGATGAGCTGAAGAGATATTGCTTGACATTTCTTTATCCAATAAATTTGCAAACCATCCCTCACTTATTTGAAGCTTAAAAGAAATTCTAAGTTCAAGGCGAGACTACTCCAAAGGTTTCTGTATTAAAACTTTTACTAGAAAACAAAGGTTAACAATAAAGATAAACAAGAACAGGCACATAGCAAAGGAGATACAGCACGGCTTTTTGCTGCTGAAATGTCATATGAAATAGGCAATATGAAGATAGATTTGTATTTAGATGTACTTAATTATAAAAATATTTTTGATATTAGGGATGATTTCAATTTGTCTAGTTTCTTTAAAACCATAAAATATGCTACAAGTTTTTTGTTTTTATATCAGTATGCTATCTGAATTTTTGAGTAATAAGGACACCATTTTTTCACATTGGCATTTCATTCATTTATCTTTTGACTAAAAGTAGACTTAGAAAAGAGCTTTGTAGTGCTATTGGTGAATGTCAGATATTACAAAAAATGGTTTGTTCTCCCCTTTGTCTCACAACTCAAAATAATGATATGCTTCCCGTTTTAGTATCAGTACTGCTGCTATGATATTTTCTCTTCTTCTCCTCCATCTAAACATCTCATTTTATAATCTCTTAAATACCAAGGCTAAATCTAAGAAAAGTTAAATTTGCACATATCCAAAATAGTTTCTTTTCTACAAGGTCTTTTAGGGGTTTGGGATATCTTAATATTATTTGGCTTCTATTTTAACAGTGAATCTATAATAAGAATGAGTTGCCCTCAAACAGAAGAAAAACTGCCATATGAAGAACTGGAGTGCAAAATATGTTATCAGAAATTTAATGTTTACAGTCGTAAACCCAAAATCTTGGACTGTCTTCACAGAGTGTGTGCAAGTTGCCTGACTAAGATAGCTCACACAGGAGATGGAACTAGCACATGTATTAGCTGTCCCTTTTGCCGCTATGACACAGAGATGCAAGAGGAAAAGATAGCAGGACTTCCTGATGACACAAACATTATGTCTAAACTTTTGCTCAAGGACAAGACAACATGGAACTCAGACAGCAGTGAAGCGGTCTTAACACCAAAGAATTTGGTATCTTCAAGTCCTTCCCACGGATTTTCCAACTGTTTAGCACTGACACTTATGGAAGTTCAGCCAAACTGGACAAGGACTCCCAGCCAAAACACTATCTCTGATTACTATGGCGGTCACAGTTCGGATTCAGTATCTATAAGTTCTTATAGTCAAATTGATCAAGACCTTTTCTCTAAAATCTGTAATCATGTACCTAGAATACTAAAGTGGCTATTGGGATTTTTCTACTTTGGATCCCTGCCTCTTGGGATCTACTTGTTGGTGATCCAGAAAATAACCCTGGGAATTGTATGTGTCAGTCTAGTTCCCTCAAGTCTCACTATATGTCTTATATATGTTTTTGCCAATGTCTCTGTCAGGAAATCGGTGATTGTTCCTCAATAGTTGACAGTTACTGTTTTAATATGTTGTACATGTATGCAAAACTTAAATACAATGAATGACATTTCATAATTAACGATCTCAGTGTAACTTTTTAAATTGAAAAACTAAAATAACTTATGAAATTCACAATTGAGTTAAGACATTACAAATTTATAAACTTTCCTGTGAACTTCTCTCTTATTCTCCCTATCCTAACTGTCATATGCAATCCGTGTCTGTTCTTTTCTGTATTTACCTAAGGAACTGAAAAATATGTTGAGAATTCAGCTTAACCTAGATTCTATTAAATAAGTGGTGGTCAATGTTAGCTTTAAAAAATATTGTACAATAAAACTTCACTAATTTACATTCCTGATGGAAGGTCAGTTTAAACGGGTAAAAAGTGTGGAATGCAGTATCATTTTTAAACAAGGTAGTTTGATCTGTTTGATCTAAGCTACTACAAGTTTGGCAAACAGAGATCCCAGAAAATCAACTGCTTAAATGTTAATGAAGGCTTTAAAAGTGCTTAAAAATCAATATATGTTCTTATGCAGCCTAAATATTTCTTCCTTCTCAAAACTTATTTTAACTTTATCAATATGTCAGTAAACTAGTATTTATTAAACACCTATTACGTTCCAGGTTCTGTGGTAAGCATTGGGGATTCAAAGAAAGGCAAAAACACAGTCAATAAATGTTTATTAGGCCCCTACTATATGTCAGGCACTGTCCTAAGAACTAGTGATACAAAAAGAGACAAAAGATAGTCTTTGCCCTCAAGGAGCTCAAAATCTAATGGAGGAGACAACAAATATGCACCAACAAGCTTATACATGGGGAAAAATAGGAAATACTTCTACAGGAATAATCTTCCTGTAGAAGATGGAATTTTAGTTGGGACTTAAAAGAAACCAGGGAAGCCAAGAAGCAGAGATGAGGAAAGAGTGCTTTCTAGGTATGGGAGGCAAAGAAAATTGCCTGGAAACAAGAGAAGGTCTGTCTTGTTCATGGAATAGCAGGGAAGATGGACTGAAGAGTCCAAGGAAAGGAGTAAAGTGTAAGAAGACTGCAAAGGTAAGAGGTGACAACGTATGAAAATGCTTTGAACACCAAACAGATGATTTGTATTTGACCCTGGAGTTGATAAGGAGCTACTGGAGTTTGCTGAGTATCAGGGAATATCAAGGAGCTCATAGTTCAATAGGGAAGACAACATGCAAATAACTATATGCAAGTAAGATACATACAAGATAAATTAAGGCAATCTCAAAGGAAAGACACTAAGATTAAGGAGAGCTGGGAAAGGCTTAATGAAGCAGCCTTGGTAAATCCTTTTTTTCATAACTGCAGCAAAGGTTTAAAAACTTCTGCTTAGACTCATTCTTAGTCTGAATTATCAAAAATTCCAAATCATGAGGTTTTTACTTTGGGTGATGCAGGCTGCTTTAACTAAACCCCTTCCCCAAAGGGCATGATGGAGGAATTGGAGTAGGGACAAGTACACAGAAACAGAATGACTAATACCTCTCTAAGGGCAGTCCCAGACACCAAAAAAATTCAATCCACATCAATGCTTACTGGTAGACTGCCTACTTGAGATGAGTACATTATGAGTCCTAGGCTTTCCTTAGATTTTTCCATTTGCATACAGGCTGAGGCTCTTTTAATTTACCTCAGCATGAAAACAACAGACCCTACCCCCATTCCCTTCCTCATAAATCATATCATAAATCCCCATAAATGGCCTATGGTCTGGATGCTACCTTTATAGCCTTGCTCCTATATTCAACCCATCTCTCCTCTGACACTGCCACCACTTCAAGCTGGTCTATCTGCTGGTGGCTCTGCCTGCCACAAGTCTCTCTTCACTCTAGTCCATCTTCCACTCAGCTGTCAAAGTGATCTTCCCAAAGTTCAAATCCAACCATGTTACCAGCTCCCCTACTCAATAATGCTAGTGGTCCCTATCACTTCTAGGATCTAATATAGTCTTTTGTTTGGCATTCAAAGCTCTTCATGCTCCCACCTCCACCCCCCAGCTTTCCAGTCTTCTAACACATTACCCTTCCTGAGCTACTCTTTAATCCAGCAACACTGGCCACTTAGCTGTTCCTCAAACAAGACTCCAGCTCCTGACTGTAACCATTTTCAATGGCTGTGCCTCATGCCTGCAACGCTCATTTCTTCACCTCATCTGGCTTCCTTCAAGTCCCTTCTAAAGTTCTATCTTCTATAGGAAGCCTTTTACAATCCTTCTCATTCTTAGTGCTTTCCTTGAGATTATCAAGTTATCCTCTACATATGTCATCTGTACTTGGTTCTTTGCTTGTTGTCTCTCCCATTAGATTGTGACCTCCTTGAGAGCAGGGACTGTCTTTTCTCTTTCTTTGTGTCCCTAGCATATAGCACAGTACCTGGCACATTTTTGTTGAGTCACTTCAGTTGTGTCTGACTCTCTGTGACCCCATTTGGGGTTTTCTTGGCAAAGACACTGGAGTGCTTTCCCATTTACTTCTCCAGCTCATTTTACCAATGAGGAAACTAAGGCAAACAGGGTTAAGTGGCTTGCCTGGGTCATACAGCTAATAAGTGTCTGAAGCCAGATTTGAACTCAGGTCTTCCTGACTCCAGGCCTGGCACTCTATCTACTGTGCCACCTAGCTGCCACCTGGCACATAGTAGGTGCTTAATAAATGTTTACAAACTGACTGAATAAAATGGCTTTCCTAGTGACTGTCTTTACTTGTGCAGCTAAATTTCCCAGAACATGACCAAACCCTGTAATCCAAGGGTGGCAAGTAAGGCATGTATGGCTTTGTATCAATCTGTGTGAGTAGCTCTACTTGTGGTTTATATGCTAATAAATCCTGCAGATGGCTAACAGATCAGTGTGATTATGTGTTTGTTCCTTGAGATCCAGAGCCAGATCAATGCAATGAGTAACTTAAAAATAAATGTAACAGGATTGCAATGTCAAATAATGTGACTTTTCTAAAAGGATTGAGTTTTTAGAAATGATTATGAGAACTGATGTTTGTATTTTAGAATGAAAATAAAATGCTCAATATACTTGTGTTAAAATATATATCAACTCTCTTATTATTGTAGTGCAAGGCAGACAACATAAGAATAATACAGAATAGATAATAAAAATCATTTATGCATGACCTTGGGTTATGATAAGAGACATAAACAGCTCTACTTACACACACTATACCCCCTTAGTCTCAATTTTTCCACATATCAACCATACAACTGGGAACTTAGAATATGGGATAGGATGGGAAGGGGAGGAGAAAGGACAGCCATTAAGAATACAACAAACTCATAGATCAACCATCTGTAAATACTGAAAGTAGTTAATCTTGCTGGAGGCACTTTTTCCAAGAAACAATAAGTTTATATTTGAATCAAAGAGTTTCTGAAAATGAAATCACAAGTACCATATTATAAAAGAGAACTGCCGTAAGTTAGGCAGCCACATTCATATTGGGGATTCTCAAATGAAAAATAATATAAGAATGAACAATTTCTGATAAAATGCTGGAGTATCATTTAGAATAAAGGCATACTTAAAAGCATGTATCTTTTTTCATTTGAAAACACAAGGCTTAAAAACACAAAAGGAGCTTTTTATAACATAGTTTGTTATTTCATGGTTATCCCACAGGTAAAAATGTACCCTCCATAACATAAATATAATAAAACTTTGATTATTCATAATGCCTGAAAGACACTGACATTAATTTAATTTTATAGTTAATTAGCCAGAAAAGCCCTTTAACTTCCAAACCTTGTTTTAAAAATATTTTCTAAAATATATTAGCATACTTTCTTGCTTTAGTAAGTAGAATATAATGAATGTAATGGGATCTTTCATTCATGATCTTTCAGGACTGCAGAGTAATCATTCTAAATATTAGTTATAATCACAAAGCAGGGATAGATGGACATTTAGAAGTAGAATGCAAGATTACAACCCCTATCATTCTGGCCTGTGAAAGTAGAATGAAGTACCATCAGGGTTAATTAAATGCTGTTTCTTCACACTTTCTGGGGAGGGGGCAGTAGTCATAACAAAACTAATCCCTAATGTGAGCTTGTTTATATAGCCATTTATCAATTTCTTCTAAAAGATAAGGACAAAATAGATAAGGGTTCTGGATAATTTTTTTTAATGGCATATTAAAAAGATACTTTCTATAACAAAGTTTTCTGTAAAACTAATGTTATCCCCTTCCTGTACATACTACACACACACACACACACACACACACACACAACACACACACACACACAGAGGTACATACTACCCATATATATAAATATAAAAAACCCTTTTGGACATTTTAGATACTGTTATTTTCTGGGGAAAAATAATCCCCCAGGATTTATTTCAGGATATGGGGAAGAGAATCAGAACACAAATTTCCTGCTAAACATTTAGGTCTAATACATATACATGAAGGTGTGCCAGCTGTTAAGGGTCAGCTATAAGTTTAAAAAAAAATCAAAACTTAAAAACAAATGTCTTCTCAACAACACAATTTTGCATGTTTTTAGCATATGACTCACAATGTCTCTTTCCTCCCCAATTCTGCCCTCCTACTAAGGGGCTTCAACACACAGGACAGAGCTGGACCTGGGGTCAGGAAGACCTGAGTTCAAACTGGTCTCAGACACTGATTTACAAGCTGCATCCCTCGGCAAGCCATTTAGCTTCTGCCTGCTTCAGCATCCTCATCTGTAAAATGGGGATAATAATACCACCTACTTCTCATGGTTTTGGCATGGAGAAAATGGAATAATGTTTGCAAAGTTCTTTAGCAAACCTTAAAGCACTTCATAAATGCTAGCTATTGTTATTACTGCTAATACTTTGGATTTGTGATACCATGAATATTTTATTTTATTTTAGGCAATTGTGGGTAAGTGACTTGCTGGTCACACAGACAGTAAGTGTCAAATGTTTGGATTGAGGCTGGATTTGAACTCAGGTCCTCCTGACTTCAGGGTTGGTGCTCCATCCACTGTGCCACCTAGCTGCCTCTATGAATATTTTTAAAGCAAGTTTCAATATTTTATTTAGTGCAAATAAAAATCAATACACCTATAATCTAAGATGAAGAATTAGCAAATAAAATAAATATATATGTATTTTTAGTATTAGCAATTAGCAAATAAAATATATATACATATATATGTACTGTAGTTTTTCTACAAATGAAAATAAGGCAGAACTAGATAAAGGGCCAGCCTTTGAGTTATGAAGGGCTGAGTTCATGTCTTGTTTCTGATGCATATGGGGCTACCCTGATTGGCCAGTCACTTCATCTCTCCATGTCCTAAGTGATTATCTAAGATGAATTATCATCTGTATCCACAGGAGACATTTTTGACCTGGGAATTTCCCACACATAAGAACTTACACACACACACACACACACACACACACACACACACACACACACACACACACACACACACACACACACCCCCTGAGCTTCCAAAAAAGCTAGCGGAACTTGAAATGATTCTAAATGACTAAAAATTACATATTCTCATGTGATCTTGGGATATGACATGAATATAATAAAATATGTATTCTAAAATACTTTGGATGCCTTTCATTTTCAGCACTAACTCTAGTTTGTTTGTTTGGTTTTTTTAGTGAGGCAATTGGGGTTAAGTGACTTGCCCAGAGTCATACAGCTAGGAAGTATTATGTGTCTGAGGCCGTATTTGAACTCAGGTCCTCCTGACTCTAGGGCCGGTGCTCTATCCACTGCGCCACATAGCTGCCCCTAACTGTAGTTTTTGATATTTTACAAGTGAGGAAGAGCACATATTGATATGTTCCCTCACCCTTCCCTGTCTTGCCGTTAACACTGCATTTAAGATCAAAGATTGTCTAATTTCATTTTCTATTTTTTTTAAATCTCTCATACTCAGAACACAAGAAAATTAAATGCAGTGAGAAGTAAGAATCAAAATTGACTTGAATAATATCAAGATTAAAACTTTTCTCCTAGTTTTATTTTAAGCCTGGAATTCTATTTTCCTTACCTCCTATACTTCATATTGGACAGCTAGGTGGCACAGCAGATAAGAGCACCAGACCTGGGGTCAGGAAGGTTCATCTAATAAGGGATTTTAAGGTTATTATCAGACAGAAAAGAGTTATGATACTCACTAATGGGGACTCCTACAGCCATCAGGAATTCTAAGTTTCAGGGATAATGACAACTACTACTCCTCTCAGGCAAATGGAATGGTCCAAAGAGTTGGTCATGTTACTTTCTCCCAGGGTACATAATTTAATTTATAAGACAAGGATATAAGTATGCCCCACCCCATCCCTTGGCCAAGATGTCTAATGAAGGATGATAAAAATATTTTTCAGGAGTCTTTTGGATTTGATAAATATGGTTTTACACTGGAAAGGGAGGGAGGAGAAAACTTTCTTAATGCTTGCCAATCCAGATACTATAGGAATAACAGGTAAAATGCAGAAAGACTCATCAGTAATTCACAGAAGCCTCTCAAAGAGAGGTAGCAACAATGACCTCACATGTTTATAGACAAAAGCATGAAATATAGATAACAGACAAGATGAACTACAGATCTCAAGTCAAGAAAGCAAATTCACTTGCATGGATGACTGACATTTGGCAGGATGAGGTCTACGGCTGGAAATAAAGCTACATAAGTATATATTTTATTCTAAAGGGACAAATTTTTTTTAAAAAAGCAGTAGAGAACTATGGGATATTAAGAAGTAATACTCTCATAAGGAAATATGACAGTCAGGGTGAGGAAATCCTCACATAGAGAATTAGGATGAAAAATCAATGGAGAAATAAAAGTAAAAAGCAGTAAAGGGCAATTCAGGCATAGACACAGAAGCTTTGGAATCAGGATTATGGACCTTTGGGTCCAATGTGAACTGGATCACGTGAAGTCAGTGCTCTCTCATCTATGCCTTTGCTGACTAGCTGAAGGCAGGCACCTCTGATCACTTCTTGACACAACTAATCAAAGAGCACATGGAAGCTTGGCAGATAGCACCAGCTAGCAACTGCACCGCTGGGTACCGCTCACCTGACTTCTCAGTTCTACCTGCAGCCAAATCCCCCTGGTCTGAGCAGCAGAGGAAGAGAGGCAGACAAACAGGTGGGCTACACCAGTTATACGAAGCTCACCCACAGTGGGTTTTTTTTTTGAAGCAGTTGGTAGTGCAGTGGATGGAGTGCTGAGCTTGTAATCCAGAAGACCTGAGATCAAATTGGACTTCAGACATTTATTAGCTATGCAATCTTTGGCCAATCCTTTAACTTCTGTTTGCCTAGATTTCTTCATCAATAAAATGGGGGTAATAACAGTACTTACTTTGCAGGGTTGTTGTGGAGATCATGAGATAATATTTATGAAAGTGCTTAGCACAGTGCCCAGCTGTGTGTGTGTGTGTACACACATACATATTCAGTTATCTGCCCCTCTCATTTTCTTTGATGTTTATTCCAGTGCTTCAAGGACACATTATGTTAAAAGGTTACTTCTCTTACAATGAGATAAAATGAAGGTTGTGAAATCAGTTCTAATATGCATCAAGCAAAACCAAAACTCTGAGGTAACTGTCTTCTTAATGCAGCAATATATTTGTCTTCAACAAATGTAAGTTACAACATCAACAAGATAACTATTAAAAAAAGGTTACTTACATTTTTATAAGCCTTCAGTAAAAGGATGAATTTTTTTAGTATTTTAAATTGAAAATATATTCACTTGGAAAATAACATCAGTTCTAAATATCTTTTATAGAATTATACTAAAAATTTTTTACATCAGGATCAAATTTTGAAATAAATTAACTACTACAATTAAGTTTATAAAAGCTAACCATCAGGGCAGCTAGGTGGCAAAGTGGATAGAGTTCTGGCACTGGAGTCAGAAGGACCTGACTTCAAATTTGGTCTCAGACACTTGACACTTAACTAGCTTTGTGATCCCGGGCAAGTCACTTAACCCCAACTGCCTCACCTCACAAAAAAAAAAAAAGCTATCTATGGCTACTATATAGTCTCTTCCAGACTGTTCTGATGTGCCAAGAATTCACTGCCCATGAGATCCATATACAGTATCAGTTCGTGAAATAAATTTTCTTCATTTATACTACAGTAAATTTCACATTGTTCAAAATAATTAATTTGCTATATACTGAAATAAACTTTTGGTTAATTAGCTTATACTAAGAAGTATATCAGTTTAAAGGTCCCTAAAGATGAACTTGATTCTGGAGCATATGCTCCAGAAACTCTTAACATTCCTACCTCATATTGGTAAAGAACTGCTTGGAATTTGGGGCAGCTAGATGGTGCAGTGGATAGAGCACTGGCCCTGGATTCAGGAGGACCTGAGTTCAAATCCAGCCTCAGACACATAACACATACTAGCTGTGTGACCCCTGGGCAAGTCACTTAACCCCATTGCCTAGCCAAAAAAAAAAAAAAGAAAAGAAAAGAAAAGAAAGAACTGCTTGGAATTTAAATATAGTTTTCTACAGAAATCTAGAAAGTCAGTCTTGGATATCTAAGACAGCCTAATACAGTGGGAAGAATATTGATGCTGAAACCCAAATTCTTGCCTTGGCTGTATTACCAAAACAACTGTGACCTTTGGCAAACCCCTTCTTCCTCTTGTACCCTCAATTTCTTCCTCTGAAAAATGAGGGAAGTGGATTAATCTCTAAAGCAGGGGTGGGGATTTATTAAGAGAATTTGTTCTGTGAAGTTTGGATTCAGTCAAAAGGCTGCACTTGAGGACCAAAAGGGCCACAAGTGGCCTCAAGGCTGCAGGTTCCCCACCCTGCTCTAAGGTCTCTTTCCAGTTCAAAATTCTATAAGCTAATTCGATTAGTTATTTCCATCTTGAGAAGGAAGAAAGCTGTTCCCTCAAGGAACAATTGGGTAAGTATGTTAGCTTTACCTGGGAGAAAGTATTTTTAACTAAATAAATCCAGAGCCAGAGATTTCATTTTATTGTTGAGAAAATTAAAATATGATACTGCAGACATTTTCCTACAGCATCAAGGACATAGTAGTTTAAAGGTTTTGCATGTAAGTTATGAAAATTAGGAAAATGAGAACCTAAGTGACTCTGCTTTTACTTGGTGTGACTCTACCAGATGTACCACTCCATCAAAGCTATAACTAGCATTTCAGGGATATGAGATGAATAAATACCACAAAAGATACCTAGTATGAAAAAAGTCCTCAAATCAACTTTTTAAGACAAGTTCAATGGAGGTAGAGGGAGAGACTGTGAATATCAGCCTCATAGAAGTGAAACGGAGATAATGGAATATAAAACGCTGTTACCAGGGAAAGACTAAGAAGGTTATTACTTGCAACACAGTCAGTTGGATGAAGGGGAAAAAAAGTCTCAGTACGTAGTAATGTAGTAATTCTGTGAATGCATAATGTTCTTAAACACAAAATCCACACTAAACCTGATAATAGCACCTCATCCCATTTTTTAAAAGGGATATCTACGTTTCCCTAAATAAGATGCTTACCTTCATCTTCTCTTCTAATTTTCCTAAGCGAACATTCCCTTCTATTATTTTGTAGAGGACTTCTTGATTTTCATTTTCTAGGCACTGAGCCTGTCGAAAAATAAGAAAAAAGAAAAGAGATTCTTAGAGTCTTCTGCAATTGGGCACAAGCATCGCTGGTATGATGAATAATATTATAGAAAGTATAGTCCCATTCCACCATTTTTTAACATTCACACCATCTTTTCTTCTAAATGTTCAGGTACATAGTACTGGCTATAGCCAGGATATTGACAGCACAAGCCAAGGTAAAATGGAGGAGTCTGCAACTAAGAAGTCAGATGTACTGATATGAAACAGTTTAAGCTTAAAGTTGTATAGATTTGTATAGTATTTCAAATTATTCAAGAATTAAATAACTTCTGGAAGTACAAGTACATTAAGAATATCAAATGGAAAAAATCATTCAAGAAAATGTCACTAACTTTAAATGTTTCCTATTATTAATTAGAGAAATGCAAATTAAAACAACTCTGACATACTACCTTATATCTATCAGATTGGAAAATATGACAAAATAAAAAAATGATAGATGTTAGAGGGGATGTGGGAAAACTGGGACACTAATGCACTGTTGGTGGAGTTGGGAACTGATCCAACCATTCTGGAAAGCAATTTGGAATTATGTCCAAAGGCATAAAACTGTGCATAGCCTCTGATTCAGCAATACCACTGCTAGGTCCATATCCCAAAAACATCCACAAAAAGGGAAAAGAACCTATTTGTACAAAAATATTTTTATAGCAGCTCTTTTTGTGGTGGCTAAGAATTAGAAATTAAAGGGATGCCCATCAATTAAGGAATGGCCAAACAAGCTGTGGTATCTGATTGTAATGGACATTACTGTGCTACAAGAAATGACAAGCAGGATGATTTCAGAAAAACTTGTAAAGACTTATATAAACTGACGCAGAATAAAGTGAGCAGGACCAGAAGAATGTTACATACAGTAACAGCAATACTGTCCAAAGAAGAACTGTGGATGACTTGGCTATTCTCAGCAATCCCAAAGGACTAATGATGAAGCATACTACCCACCTCCAGAGAAAGAACTGATATTGTTTGAATACAGACCGAAGCATGCTATTTCCTCTTTCTTTCTCTCATTCTTTTTTTTTATTCAAGTCTTTCTGTACAAAATGACTAACATGGAAATATTTTATATGACTGAAAATGTATAACCTATATCTGACTGCTTACCGTCTTGGGGGAGGGGAAGGGAGAGAAGGACAGAATTTGGAACTCAAAACTTAAAAAGAAAACCAAATGTCAAAAAATTGCTTTACTATGTAATTGGGGGAAAATAAAAATTATTTTAAAAAAAGAAAAAAAAAGACAAAACACATTAACACTAAAAAAAGTTTCTTGTTGCATAATAATTCATTTTATTATATTAAGTTGTCCTTGAGCTACAATGTCTTCCAAATGCAATAACAGAACTAATAAATATCTGAGGATATATATTTTAGCTGAGTTAATATGATTAACACAAGACAAAAAGTAAATTACTATATTTTAAAATGTTTATTTTCTTTCAGTCTAAATTAAACACTTTGAATGTTAAAAAAGTTATAAATTCTTACAATATTCCATATAAAAAAGATCAGCAAAGACAATTTCACATTCCAAAGAAAGGTATTACTATAAAACAAAAATGATAAAATGTAAAGTGCTAAATTTAGTCAGAAGATCTGGGTTCAAGTCTCAGCTCTGCCCCATATTAGCTGTGTGATATTAGGCAAATCATTTTATTTCTATGGGCCTGTTTCCCTAGCTGTGAATGTATTTTCCAGTTTTAAAGCTATGATCTATAACTACATTCTAGCTAAGGTCTCTTCCAGCTCTAACATTCTGGGAAGTCAGGTGAACCAATAATGAAAGCAAGCATGTGCCTGAGCTAGGATTAGAAATCAAATCCTTTCAATCTCTAGGTTGCTTCTTAATCCAAGTATTTACGTTATTTTTCTTTAGAGGAGATTACAGTTTCCTGAATCTTACACTTCAGAAGGATTACCACAATAACATATGACATCTAGAAAATGTATCATACTCTTCCTTAAGGAAAAATAGGTAATATGTGTCCACAGAGAACTAAAAATTTCTCAAATTTCGCCATAACATATCAGTGTCCAGATTGACCCTGTTTTTTTAATGAAAATTTCAACTTTCAGTTTATACTTATATAAGTTTCACATTCTACACCAGAGGTTTCAAACTCATAGCCCACACAATTCCCAAATGCAGCCAGAATCAGATTAAAATTTAATTGGGGAATGTTTAACAAAAAATAAATAAATAAAAATTCAACATAGATAAAATGTTAACTTGTGGTATTCTAATTTCATTATGTGGCTTGCAGGGATCCATTTCTATTTGTTTGGTACCACTGGCCTAGACCATTCTGTTCAGCAGCAAAAGGCTTCCTGGCCTGGCAGCTGCTGTCATATAAAAGCAGCAACCACAGCGTGGGAGGGAGGGGGAAAAAGACAAGCTAGCTCAGAAGGGTCTGAGGGTGGCGAACACGCAGGTGACTGGAGAGGCAGCAGCATCACTGACCTCAATGTGTATGTGTGGGTTCTTTTCTTTTTTCTGAGAGATGTGTTTTTAGCTTTAAGAAAGGTTTGCTCATATAATTTTATGGTTTTTTTAAAAAAGGAATAGAAAATGAATTAGAAAGTAGTAGAAGCCTACTCCAATATAAGTGATAGGTGACAAATACAATCCACAATTTCAGTTCAAATATTAATAGGAGAAAATGTCAGGGGGAGGTTACCTAAGGAATCCATTCTGACTATTTTCAGTAAGAAGGCCTCTGAACTTATCCTACCACATTAATCTCTGTGTTCCTATTGCACAGATGTATTAGGCTTTTAATAAATATTTGCTCCTATTACTGAATTCTTGTGTTAGTTTGATGACAAGCAGCCCTGGAGTGCCCAGGCCAAAAACTGGAAGACCCAAGGAATGCTCAGCCTGTTAGTAATGTTATCCCAACAACAGGCTTAGAGTAGCCCCAAGCTTGTGGCTGGGGTCCCATGATCACCACTCACGGTGGCTTTCAGAAATACTCTATTGGCAACAGTACAGAAAAATGTCATTCTAAGGACCATTAGCAGGACCAGTAGCTACTCTCACGTTTTTTTATTTCTGGAGGCAATTTTAATTGGAAGCAATCAGGGTTAAATGACTTGCCCAGGGTCACACAGCTAGTAAGTGTCTGAGATCACATTTGAACTCCGGTCCTCCTGACTCCAGGGCCTGTGGCTCTATCCACTGTACCCCCTGGCTGCATTTGCTTTGGCAGTAGAGTGAAGCTTACACCTAAGCTTCCTAGGCTTATTTCAAGCTAAGCAACCACCACCACTCATAATTTTTGTGATTTTTCTCCACCTTTTTTCAGCAGCATGTGCATAGGATCAAAGGCAACAGACCATGGGAGTGATACAACAACACAACTTGGCAGAGCAAGATGAGAATTGTAATAAGAAGGCAAGAGACCCAAGAGAAGAAGACAGTGTACAGCTGAAGTGGTTCACCAAGTGATCAAGGTGGACAAAGAGGAGTGTAGCCAGGGCAGGGGTGATGGCCTAGGAAAGAACTGAGGGGACGGAGGAATGTGCAGGTCATGTAAGTCACGGTACGCAGGAGGAAGAAGCTTTGGAGTCGCAAGGCAGAGGAAGAGGTAGAAAGACAGCATGTGGTCACATAAGGGAATTTCAGAATTCATGAACATGGAAGTGGGGAGTGAAATTTGTGAGTGATAACAAGATCAAGGGTAAGACCATCTTGGTGTAGGGCAGTCCCTTCTCCTGGATAGCTCCAATCTTTAGGAAATTTTCCCTTATACCAGGGCTTCTTAAACTTTTCCCACTCACAAGCCTTTTTGTGTTTAGGCAGCGTTTGTGTCGTGTGGCCTGAGGGCACGTGCAGTGCAAAGCAGGGCATGCTTTGTGTTCAGGACCAAGGCTGCAGGGAGGTTGTGCCATGCAGCACAGGCAAACACTGCCAGAAACACCGCGCATTCACATAGCGCCTGACTTTGGATTTTTGGTTGTTGAGCACTGAGAAACATTTTAGTGTTGCTAAATTTTTTGTGACTGCATATGGGGTCATGACTCACAGTTTAAGATGCACTGCACTGGCCTATATCAGGCTCTACAATTGCTACTCACTGCTTTTAGTTCTGCCATGTAGGGGCAAGAAGAACAAAGGTAATCCCCCTTCTATGTGACAGTCCTTTAAATACTAGGAATAGCTATGATGTCCCACACTAAAAGTCTTCCTCCTCCAAGCTAAAGCTTTCTAGGACCTTCAATCAATCCTCATAGGGCATAGTTTGCAGTTCCCTCACCATCTCAGTCACCTTCTCTGCATATACTTGAGCTTGTCAAAGTCCTTCCTATAAAAGGAGGCATCTAGAACTGAACACAGTGCTCAAACACAGTGTAGAGGGAGTTGTCACTTCCCTTATTTTGGGCACTGTGCTGTCACTAATGCTACTACTTAAGACCGCTTACACTAACTTAGCTTACAGTCCACTAAAACACCCAAGTCTTTTTATATGAACTGTTGTCTACTCAAGCACCTCTAATCCTACACTGTTGCAGCTAATCTTCTGAACCCAAGTATAGGACTTAACACATCCCTATTAAATTGTACATGTTTTAATGTTTCAATTGTGAAAAGCACATTTTCACACCAATGAAAAAAGAGGCTTGCTTATTCTGGATCTATTTTGTTAGGCCAACTAAAGTTTTTAAATTTATGTTATTAATCAGTGATGGCAAGACAATAGTAGTATATACTTTTACATGATTTGACTAAGGGAAAACATACAACTTTACACAGAGTGGCCCAAAAGTCGTAGTGAAGTTTAACGCTATTTAAGCTATTAAAAAACTGCACTAAGACTTTTGGGACACTCTGTACATCATAGGGTCAGTCAGAAGCACTGAGGATCTAAGTGTGCAGTAAGTCACAATTGTCCCCCACTTCTATTTTCATTCCTTGACTTCATTTATTAGATCTCTAAAAGTCAAGAGATCATCCAAGGAACATCATGAATTAAACTGAGAATTTGATGAGCAAGCCTGGTTATTATAAAATATTTATATTCAGCTACTGCAGTATAATCCATGCACTTGATATCTGTGGTGAGGTACAGACAATTTGTTACAGCTGACTATGATGTTATAAACCCCCTCTGTTTTTAAGAGAATTCTGAAGCCAAGAAAGTCAATGAACATTTATTTAAGCATCTCTTTATCAGGCCCTGGCATGGGGCAAGATGAAGCTTGCAGTTGGGGTGGGAAATGGTCTAAGTAGGGTGAGCTACAGAACTGATTTCATTTTGTAGGCTGATAAGTTTCTGGAGATGATGAAGTTTGGGAGAGAAGCCAGGTGGGAAACGATGAGAAATGCCCTGCATGCCCTCCTTAAATGGTGGAGGGTATGGAAGGAGCTTTCAGACAAGAATTCATCACCCTCTCCAATCAGAGAGAGGGAGAGGTCCCAAGGGCAGGGGTGCTAAAGAGGTATGGGTTTCACAGCTGACTTCATCTTGCAGAAAAACGAGTTTCTGAACTTGAACTTATGACGTCTAGGAGAGCAGCCAGGTGAGAAATGAAGCATGCAAATCTCATGCTAAATCCATACTAACTTGAAATAATGGTTTCTAAGAGAAAAGTTTCCTAGTTTTCTAGTTCTGGACTGAATGAAGAATGAACTTCTCTCTATCTGGCCTTTGCCAAAATATACTTTGTTTTGACATAGAAAAATCTGTAATATTTGGTTGTGAATTTTTAAAATTTCTTTTTATGCATAACAATGTCTTTAAAAGCATATAACCGGCAAAATACTCAAAGGATACTGTGAAAGAGGACAAGCTGCTAAAGCCTCTTCTACTAGACTCTAATAGTAAACAAAGAATACAGATTACCTTTCAAGAGATGTTATTTAAAAATTGGCATGGTCTTTGTGACTGTTTGACATCCTCCTCCGTGTATAGTCATCTCAATATAATTCTTACACTTTCATAGATACTGCACTTATCACACTATAAAGTGGATTGGAACAGCTCAAGTAGCCATATATGTAACAGAACAACCACTATTTCCCTTTTTTATCCTAAGATGTGAAGATGCTTTGACCCTATCAAATCCAATGATTAATTAGATCTTATGATCAATATCTTTTTCATAAGTCAGAAAAGAAAGTAACTCACAAAAGGTTTTAAAATGAAACACTGGTGTCTCATGGAGTCACCAGCTTCCATTTGGTCAATTCTAATTTTTTAAGGCATTATTTTCTCAGTAAGGTTTTTTATCTCTTTTACAAAGCTGTTAATTGTCTTTTCATAACTTCCTTCCATAGTTCTCATTTGGTTTTCAAAACAATTTTCAGCTCCTTCTTTAAATCTTCTAGGAATTTTTCTTAGGTTTGTTCTGCAGTTTTCTTTGAAGCTTTAGAATTACTTTTTTTTTTTTTGCTTTTTGGTGAGGCAGTCGGGGTTAAGTGACTTGCCCAGGGTCACACAGCTAGTATGAGTGTTATGTGTCTGAGAAACTGGATTTGAACTAGGTCCTCCTGACTCCAAGGCCAGAGCTCTACTCACTGCACCACCTAGCTGCCCCAAGAGACATCCCTGAAGCCATGACCTAGAGTTATTTTTATTTTTTGGTGGGGCACTTGGGGTTAAGTGACTTGCCCAGAGTCACACAGCTACTAAGTGTTCTGTTTCTGAGGCCGCATTTGAACTCAGGTCCTCCTGATTCCAGGGCCAGGGCTCTAACTACTTCGCCACCTAGGTGCCCCCTCTTTGAAGCTTTGTGTGTAGATGTTTTCAAGTCCTTGCCTTTTTCTGTGTTTGTGTCTTGAACTGTCCTGTCACCATGGTAGCTCTTTATGGTCAGGTTCCTTTCGTTTGTTGCTTGCTCATTTTTCCGCTTAGTCCTTGACTTTGGACTTTATGTTAACGTTGGACTCTTCTGGGAAGGGTCGGGGGAGATGCCTGGCCTGAGCTTATGTCCTTTTACATCCTTAGGCCAGGGGGCCTGCAAGCTTTCAGTGCTTCCAAGTCCATGTGATCTGAGGAGAGGTCTATTCAATGCCATCCTGGTCTAAGTTCTGCAGGTTGGATCTGTTGGCCCGTATATCGTTAAATTTCAGCAGACTGCTGCTAAACTCAGTCACAGTCAGTTTGTTAGGAGGTTTTACGGATTCAGAGTGACTAAACTGCTGGCCCTCCTATGGCCCTGGTCCCCTGCCCTAGTTATTCCACTACAGGGTTATGCGCTGGACTAGAGGTTAAGACTGGGTTGTTACTCTATTCCTGGGCTCAGAACTACACATGGAACTTGTTCCTGACTCACTGTTCAGCTAGGGCCCTGTTCTCTTGTGTCACTTTCCTTTGCTGTGTTTCTAAGACCTGGACCTGGGTAATGGGCTACAGAGCTGCCAGAGAACACTTGTTTCTGTTCCCAGTGCTTGTTCTGGGATCCCCTGGGATCTCTTTGTATCCCAGTGCTTCCTGCCCTAGTGGTCTGTCTTGGCTCCCTTTCCCTCTCTAGGCTCTGAATGCTCCCTGCATCCACTGCTACTATGTGCACTCATGGCCAACTCCTACCCCAGTGTCCACAGACTTCTCTATCTTCTTAGGTTACCCTTGGCTGGAAAATGACTCACTGTGACTTTTTTCTTGGCTTTTCCTATTAAAATTTGGCCTAAAGCATCTTCTAGATTATTGTGGAAGTGGCACGCTTGAAGAGTTAAGGCAAAAATGTTTCCTCTGACTTGCCATCTTGACTTTGGCCCCTTAGTGAAATTTTTCAACAACTGAATTCTGCTGGAATGGCCTTCCAGAACCAAAGGCCACCTCCTCCCTGCAGCTAGTCATCACAACAGTGCTCAGTAGAGACCTTTCCAAAAACTTCAGTGGCTCCCTAGTGCCTCTAGTATAAAATATAAATTCCTCGGGCATTTAAAGTCTCCCACACTAGATAAAGGTCCAGTTTGTCCAAACTGGCTCCCTGCAATCATGACCCAAGATACTTTCCACATCCCACCTCCATGCCTTTCCAAATGCCTGGAATGCATGCCCTTCTCACCTCCACCTCATGGAAGACATAGCTCCTTTCCTGGTGTAGCTCAAGGGTCATCTCCTAAGGTCCTTTCTGCTCCTTCCCCAACCCTTGTTAATGTCCTTTTCCCACAAAATCCTGGGTATTTACTCATATATGGTAGCCAGGAATGTAAACACTTGAAGAGGAGGATCCTCATAAATTTCTAAAGAGAACCTAGAATAGTTCAGAATAGTCTAAACTCATTGAACTAAATTTTTCACTTCTTCTCAGTACTCTCCTTGTCACCTTCTTCAAGCTGGAGATAAAAGTGGGTATTTTTACTAAATATTCAGTCTCACAATCCCAGGTACCAATACAGACCGCAGTTGCTTCTTATTCAAAGAAATTCACAGTAACAGGGCTCAGAGTTGTCAGAACACAAGAAAATGCTAATGCTAAACTATTAATCTGATACCTAGACACTTGAAAGTTATTTTGCATTTTATATTGCTCCCACTGTTAGACTAAGGAAAATATGACCAAACTGTTTTAGATACATGCTAAAAAGATTACAACCATAATTCTTATATGGCAGATTAGAATGAATAGTAATTCTCAGAAGTAGAACAAAACAGTTGTTTCACTTCCAAAGTATGACTTAAGTCTTCTTCCAAGGTTTAATTTTTACTGTTTCCAATAAATACCTTTTATGATGAATACAGCAGATTTAAAACATTTAGTCAAAATCGAAACGGAAAACACATCTGAAACAGAATATTATGAAGTTTGTTATACTTGGAAATTCAAGTCAACAAAGACTTAAATGAATATTATGTAAAGCACTCGAGACACTTGGAGGCACAAAGATTTTTTTTAAAGTTTTGAATAACCATAATTTTGAATTAATATCCTTAAAAATCTTAAGTATGCACAATAAAAGGCAGTTTTACCTGAGGTAATATTGAGGAAACTTACCAGATGTATAAGATTGTCACGTTCTTGAGCTACACCATTTGCCAAAATGACAAAATTTGTCAGATACTGGTGAGCTACCTCTTCTTTCTCCATTGCTTCTTCTACTTGTTGTTGAAGGAGGTCTATTTGCTTTTGAGATCCCCTACAAAAGTTCACCAAATAATTACATTTAAAAAAAAACTTACTAGTTTGGTGACAATGAAACAGCTATGTTATAAAGAACATCAAATGCCTCAGAATTTAAATTACCTTATTTTACAACCTGAAGCTTTCATTAAATCTAAAAGTAAAAGCTCATATTATAATTTACTTTTAGACTAAACATATTAATTCACTGATACGAAATAATGTCAAAAACATACATAATAACTGTTTGAGCAATCAATGGAATAATGAAACCCTTTTTTTTCCTTTGGATTTTTGACTGATGTAGACTGAGAATGTTACAACTAGGAGGAACTTTGGGATCATTTAATCCAATCTCTTCATTTTATCTAGGAAGAAACTGAGAAATGATTTGTCATACTTAACATAGTAAGCCGGTAAGAGAAGTGAGGCTATAACCCAAGTCTCCTGCATCCTAATGCTCTTTCCAGTATACCTCATACTAAAGATCTTATGCCAAATGAGCCCATAAGAAATATATGAACTATATTCATTTCATAAATGAAACATTGGAAAACACGAAATAAAAATTACCTACACAAAAACCCCATGAGATGTGTCTTTTCTTCTTCGGTTTCCATAGGCAATTTATTTGATATATAGTAAAGTCTCTGTTTTCTAGCACCATTAGAGAATAAAGTATTCTAGTTTACCAAATAACTTTTGGTTAAGAATATATTATGACTCAGATGGTACCTAGGGGCCTTATAGTATCTCAAGGTCATCATCAGTATCAACTGTTATTGAACTGCTGACATTGAGACATGCTGATTTCTGGTTGTTTTATCAGATAAACCAGTCTTTACTGTACTGTTATTGTGACATGAGAATTATTTTACATGACACTAATTAACAAAACAAAATTAGAGGCACTAGAAAATAAAAAGGAAAAGACAAGGACTATAAATCTCCCATGGAGTTCAGGCATATTTTTGGATATTTTATTTAGTATGGAGGAAAAACAGGTTAAAAAAGAAAATTGATAAACCTATTTAATTTCTGTGCCTTTTCCAATTCAGCTCCCAGGACTCTGTTTTCAGCTTCCAATTTACTTTTATTTAAAAGCAGGCTCTTGGTTTGGGCTTGCAGCTCTGTCATCTTTCCTATCAAGCTGTCAGTCTCCACGTTCCATTTCTCTTTTTCCTTCTGCAACTGGCTGGAAGAAAAAAGCAAGAAGTTATATTCAACATACTACTGTTGAGACAAGATCACTGTGAGATAATCGATCACCAATAAAATCCTCCAATCCCTGACATGGGCACTCTGCAAGGCTTCTGTGTAAGAGTCACTCTCATGGAGGAGGACTGAGGTAGGCCTTGGTCACTGCGGAAGACAAGTACACTGATAAGGTCTGTGAAGATGGTATAGGAGAGGTGGGCTAGGAATGTGTTTGTTTCACTATATTATCTGCCCCACATTCAGGGTCAAAGATGGAGAAGTTTGACATTTTTCATGTGAGTTAAAGTATAATACTGATGTAAAATTATTATAAGTTAACATGAAAAACTGATATTAAATATATTTATATTATAATAAAATTTGCTGTAAACAAGACCTAAAAAGCTTTTGTAGAGGCTTCAAGCAAATATGCATTTAGCAACTATACAGACAGTAACATCATATTTTGCTTATAATCAATACATTTATACGTAAAAATTAGATCTGAAAAAAGAGGCTTTTATCAAAACAAAAAGTAAATGTAACTACTAAGTCAAGAGGCATCACAATTGACTGTATAACGTAGAGCCTTCCAGAACACTATATTTGGTTGACTTCCAATCTAACTACAGAGCAAGTGCCAGGTTTGCAGCCACTTGGGTTCTAACTCTGACTTCTTTGCTTCCTGCACCTTTCATAGAAATGCCGGGGAGAGTGACCTCAGTCAACAAAGCATTTATTAGGCATTAATTAAGCATTTGCTACGTATCAGGTATTCATCCAAGTACTGGGAATACAAAGAAAGCCAAAAAATAGTTCCTATTCTCAAGAAGAGGCGGAAACAACATGAAAACAGCTATATGCAAACAAATGCATACAGAACAAACGAGATAATGAACAGGGGAAAGGCACTAATTAATGGGGATCAGTAACAGCTTCCTGTAGAATGTAGGATTTTAGCTGGAATTTGAAGAAAATCAGAGATGCCAGGAGTCAGAGATGAGGAGCAAGAGAATTTCCAGGCATGGAAGGCAGAAAGTAGAAAATACCTGGAGTCATGGTGTCTTGTTCAAGGAACAGCAAGGAGACCAGTGTCCCTGGTTGGAAGAGTACATGTAGGGGAGTAAGGCATAAGACTAGAAAGTGCCAGGTTATGAAGGGCTTTAAAAGGCAAACAGGATTTAATAGGATCAAATATTAGAAATCTTCTCTGCTTGACTGAATGGGGGGGGTGAGAAGGTGAGAAGCGTACTTTAGGAAGATCAACTTGACAGGTATGTGGAAGATGGACTGGAATGGGGAGAGACTTGAGGGAGATCATCCAAAAGACTCTTGAAGTAATCTAGAAGTGAGGTAATGAGGGCCTTTACTAGGGTGGTGGCAATGTAAGGAGAAAGGACGTAAAATATCTAAGAGATGTGATAAAGGTAGGAAATATCAGAACTCTGCAATACAATGGATGGGGATAGCGGTGGTAAAAGTGAGGAATTGAGGGTGACAGCTAAGTTGCAAGCCTGGATGATGATGGTATTCTCAACAGTAATAAGGATGTTTGGAAGAGGGGAGGGTTATTGTTGGGTTTCTATTTTCTTCTGAGGGGGATGGAAGATAATGAGTTCAGTTTTGGATATGTTGAATTGAAGATATCTGAGACATCCAGTTTGAGATGTCCTATGAACAGTTGGAGACGCAAGACTGGAGGTCAGGAGAGAGGATAGGGCTGGACAAATAATCTTTCCTTCCCCCGCCTTCCATCCCCTAGCTATCACTAAAACCTGGTTCCTCTTCTCCCCTAGCTTTCCTGGCCACTCCTTCCAGTTCTAACTGGTTGAACCTTCACTCATTCCCCTTCGTTGACTGGTAAGGTGGGGAAATTGGAATATTTCTTGCTCCCTACTGCCATTTCCAGGGTTCCCACTGCCTCCATCACTCAGTAACCCTACCTCCTTTGAGGTCTATGCTATTCATATTTGATGCCTAATCAAACCTGGTAGCTTTTGTCCACAGATCTCTAGGTCACTCCACCTCCTTTCTCAAGGAGTTTGGTACATGGCCCACATTTTTCTCTTCTTTCCAACTCCTGACCTCATAGTAGAGAATTTCCACATATTTACTGACTTCTCCTTAAAACATCTACCATTCAGTTCCTCAACTGACTCACTTCTTATGAGTTACTGCTCCACTCTATCTCACCCACACAATTGGGCCATATGCCCAATCATGTCATCACCTATAAATGCAACACCTCCATGTTCAATTACCCTGAAATTTCCTTATCTGATCATAATCCATTGACTTTCCATCTCTCCCTCTGCCTTCCCTTACTAAACTCTGGTCTTCATCCACACCATAACTTCCAATACCTCAACCCTTCAGCTCTCTCTCAGGATATCTCCCCTGTACTAGCCCCTCTCTCCTCTTTACTCCACCTTGAACCCCTGGTGAGCCAATTCAACACTACACTATCTGACCACTCTTTCTCTCTCTCCTTTGCTGGCCCCTCATCCAGGTTATGACGTCTAATTATAGGTGTCTCAAGGGGTTCTACACTGGACCCTTTTCTCTTCCCTCTCCATACTATTTCACTTGGTGATCTCATCAACCCCCATAGATTTAATTAGCATCTGAATGCTGATAATTCTCAAACCTATCTATTCAGTCCTCACCTGTCTGCTAACCTCCCATCTTCCATTCCAACTGCCTTTCTGACATCTTGAACTAGATGTCCAAGAGACATCTTAAATTCAACATTTCCAAAGCTGAACTCAGTACTTTTTGCCCTAAATCCTCCCTCTCTTATAATTTTTTCTGTTACTGTAGAAGGTAGCATCATTCTCCCATTCCCTCAGGCTTACAACCTAGGAGTCATCTTCAACTCCTCACTATCTCTCATTCTCATACTGGATATCACTCATATCCAATTTGTTGTCAAAGCCTGTCAATTTCACCTTTGCAACATCTCTTGAATATACCCCCCCTTCTCTCTACTGATACTGTTACTATCACGGTGCGGGCCAGCCCTCAACATACCATGCCTGAACTACTGCGATAGTCTCCTGCTGGATCCTCCCCTAGTCCAATACATCCTCTAGTCAGACATCAAAGTGATTTTATTAAAATCAAAGTCTGATCATGTCACACCCCCTACTCATTAAACTTTAATGGCTCCCTATTACCTCCAGGATCAAATATAAAATCTTGTTTGGTGTTCAAAGCCCTTCAGAAGCTACCCACACACACACTCACACACTGTTCCAGTCTTCTTACACCTTACACTCTACCATGTACTCTTCCATTCAATGGCACTTGTTTCCTACTAAAATCTCATTTTCTATGGGAAGGATTTCCCAGCTACCAAGAAGCATTTCCCAACTACTAACTCTAGCACCTTCCCTCTTTTAATTATTTCCTATTCTTCCTACATATAGCTTATCTGTGCAAATGTATTATTTGCTGTGTCCCAGATTGTCTGTTGTCTCTTTTTCTATCTCCAGTGCTTAGCACAGTACTTGGCACATAGTACACGCTTAATAAATGTTTTTCTGACTGACTAAAAGCCCTGAGCATCATCTTCATAGAGATGATAAATATGGGATCTGATGATATCACCAAGTGAAACAAGGACAGAGAAAGAAGAGAAGAAAGACCAGGACAGAGTCTAGGGATCTACCCACTGTTGGCGGCCAAGACCTGGATGTAAAGGAGATTGAGTAGTAATCAGACAGGTAAAGGAAAACTAGGAAAAAGCACTGTCAGGAAAACCAAGAGAGAAGAGGGTGATCAATAGTGTCAAAGGCTGCAGATAGAACAAGGAGGATGAGGATTGTGAAAAGGTCATTAAATCTGGCAATTAAGAGCTCATTAGTAACTTGGGAAAGAGAAATTTTGGTTAAATGATGAGGTCAGAAGCTAGAGCACAGTGAGAGGAAAGGAAGTAGAGGAACTGATTGGTAGATGGTCTTCTCCATGAGTTTATTAAAGAAAAAGGAGGAGAAATATGGGATGATAGCTAGCAGGGACAGACAGGTCAAGTGAGGAATTTTTGAGGACGAGGGAAACATGATTATGCTTATAGGCAGTAGGGAAGTGGCCAGAAGACAGGAGAGATTGAATTGAGAAGGCGGGGATGATAGAGGAGGTAATCTGCTAGAGAAGACAGAATGGAATGGGATCATAGAGGGGTTTCCCTTGGCAAGAAAGGTCACATATTCATTGAGACAGTGGGGAAAGAGGAGATAGCATCAAAAGGCATCAGAGAAATGTGAGATGGGGAGGAGAGGAAAAAGAGGGAGCTCTTGGTAAATGTCCTTAATTTTTTTCAATGAAACTTGAGAAAACATTCTTAGCTGAGAGGGTAGAGAGAAGAGGAACCATGAAAAGTCTGAGGAAATAAGGAAAGGTTTGGAAAAACTGTTGTGGCGAGTGGGATACTGAATCAGTTGGTAAGACATAAAAGGATCGCCTTGCCAAAGTGAGAACCCTATTGAGGTTTTATAAATATAGTGGTCCCAGTCAGTACAGTTTTGTGATTTTTTTTTCCACTTTCATTCATCAGCATATGAGTAGGAAGGATAGAGGTGGATGGTGGGAGTACCTGAAGGTTGAGGCTTGGCAGGGCAAGATCTTCAACAGATAAAGGTAGCAAGGGAATCAAGAGACATGGGCGCAGTTCACTAAGGGGCCAAGATGGAAAAGGGAGGAGAGTATAGCTAGTGTATAGGGGACAGCCTGGAAGAGAGCTGAAGGATAGAGGACTGGAGGTCATGGTAAGGTCAAAGGAGAGGGTAAATGTATAGATATGTAGTTATCTGTGTATATATATACATATGTATATAATATATATATATATATATATATATATATATATACATATATGCATGCGCGTCTGTTTTTAAAACCAGTATTCTTCTAGTGATACTATGTGGCTGCAAAACATGGAACAACGAAGTCCTAAGCATTATAGCTGCTGGTCTCCCAAATGGAAAAAAAAGATACATGAGGGTCACAAGTAGCCTGCAGCTTATTACCAATGAAAAATTAAATATAAGTAGCACAGCAGATATTATCAAAGAATCATGTGACCAGAAATGTAGGTGGGCCTACATTCATTGATGTAATGAAATTGAAGGCTAAGCAACTGACAGCCACTGGTGTTGATGCAATGTCAGATCTAGAGGAAAGTCCCTGGAATGTGTGCTAGACACTGGACAAGAGTCACAGAGATAAGAAGGCACAGATGGGTTACAATCTACTGCTGGAGGTGTCTGTATTGATGAGATCACATATTTTTGAGGTACTGCAGTATTTTTCATTCTTACAGATATGGCTAATTTGAGTTAGAAAACAATACAATGTCTGGATTTAAAACTCTTCTTTTATGCTCTTTATTACCAATTGCCAGAGTAAAGGCAGGAATATTTAAGGAAATGTTAAAAGATACTTAAAGATGACTGAAATGCCCATTCTCTTTGACCTAGAGATTCTTCTACTAGGCTTATACCCCAAAGAGGCCATCATTAAGAAGAAAGTTCCCATTTATACCAAAATATATATAGCAACACGTTTTGTGAGAGCAAAGAATTGGAAACAAAGTAGATGTCTTTTGACTGAGGAAAGGCTAAACAAATTATAGTATATGAATTCATGGAACATTATGTGCTTTGAGAAATGATAAGCATGATAAATACAGAGAAGCATGGAAAGATCCACATGAACTGATACAGAGTGAAGTAAAGAGAATCAAGAAAACAATGTACACAATGATGACAACAATATAAAAGGAAAGAATTTTTTAAAAAGTTAATGTTGAAAAATTACAAAGATTAAACACAGCTCAAAGCAAGAAATGTGAGAAGATGGCTCTATCACATCAATTTGCAGAGCTGTTCAGCCTTTTTTCAATCCTGTCTGACTATTCATGACCCCGTTAGGGGTTTTCTTTGCAAAGATACTGGAGTGGTTTACCATTTTCTTCTCCAGCTCATTTTACATATATGGGAACTGAGGCAAACCAGTTTAAGTGACTTGCCCAGGGTCACCCAGCTAAGTGTCTGAGGTCAGATTTGAACTCATGAAGATGAGTCTTTCTGACTTCAGGTATGGCTTTCTATCCACTGTACCACCTAGATGCCCTTTTGCAGAAAGGTGGGAGGCCCCAAAACATGGCACGCTGCACACATTTTGAGATATTTAGATTGATCTGTTATGCTAATTTTTTCCCCTTCTTTTTCTTTAAAAACTATCTGTTACATGGGATGATCTCTACCAAGGAGGGAGAAGGATCAAGCATACTGTGGGACATTATGGTAATGTGAAAAAAAAATGACATCAAGAAAAACTCATTTAAGAAGATGTAAAGAGCCCTACCTTTTCAGTTCATTCACAATTGTGTCATGGACTTTTATCTCTATTTGGCTATCCAATTGTATTTTCAGGTTTTGACATTTAGAGTGTAAAATGTCCAACTGCTCCTTGTTCTCTGCTAGTGTCTTTTCTTGGCTCTTTATTTATTTTCCAGAAGCATTTGCTGTTTAATCAGTTTGGAAACTTTAAAAAAGAGAAGAATTTAATGTGTTAGATTTAACACAATAGAATTAGACCTTGGACTTTAGATCAGCTAGTAAGACTGACTCAAGCAGTCTCACATGAAGTTTCTTTTTTGCACACTTACACATATCAATCTTTGAAAATGTGCAAATTTATAATGAATGGGTATACTCTTCAAAACTGTTGTATCTACATTCTGTGAACAGTTAATAAATACCCACTATACACTGGATGCTCTACAAGTTCAGTAACAAGACATAGAACACATCTTCAAAGAACAGACATTCCAAAAAAACTAAAGGAAGAGGTAAAATTAACATAAACAAGCACATATATAGATGTATGTATGTATATATGCATGCATGCATATATGAATGCCAGGCTCATCCCTCCCCAGTCTCAGTCCCATTCTACCCTACCCTTCCATTGTCCCTCTGGAACTCCTACTGTTCATAGACTGCCCTTCATATTACACATACTGCTATCACCCCATGGAAATTACTTTGTATGTAATTACTTTTGTATTTAATTTTCTATGTACATGTTGTTCCCTACCTCTCCCACAAAATGTAAGCTGCTTGAGGGCAGGGACTGGTTTTGTTGTGGTGGTGTTGCAGTTTTTTTTTGGGGGGTGTCTTTGTGTCCCAGCACCCAACACAGTGCTTGGCACACAGTGGGTGCTTACTAAATGCTTGTTAAATTTGAATTACCTGCTACTCAATCTGAAGTACAGCAAAAAAAAGCAAAACGGAAGTTGAATAGTTCTGCTTTCTCTTCATTATGATTATGCCATCTATCCTGAACCTCGTCTTTCTTTGACATTCCCCAACCCAGCACAAAAAGCTTTTTGCTATCCTTAGCATTTATCATAATTCTCAGTTCATTCTAGACACAGTATTTTTATATTCTCACTGACCCTATACACATTTTTATACATTTTCAATGGTAAGTCTTTGCTTCCATCTTCCATATATAGATCTTCCAATAAGCATTTATTAAGCAACTACTATATACAAGGCATTGTGACAGGTACTAGGCATACAAACAAAAAATGAAAGAGTTCCTGCCTTCAAAGAACCTAGTGGGGAGAATCACTTTTAAAAATTTAAGTTGAATCAACAATGAATGACTTAGCTATTCTCAGAAATACAACGATCCAAGACAATTCCAAAGAACTCACGGTGAAAAATGCTGTCCATATCCAGAGAAATAACCAATAGTGTCTGAATGTAGGTCAAAGCATATTCTCACTTTCTTTATTTTTTGTGTTTTTTTTCTTTTGATGTGTTTCTTCTTTCACAAAATGACTAATATGGACATATGTTTTACATGATTGCACATAACCTATATCAAATTGCTTACCATCTTAGGGAAAGGGGAGGAGAAGGAGAGAGGGAGAAAATTTGGAGCTAAAATTTTTTTTCAATGAATTTTAAAACTTGTCTTTACATGTAATTGAAAAAATAAAATACTATAAAAAAATCTGAGTTGAGTGATGAAAAACTGTCCATCCATGCTGATTGCTTTAGACGATACTCCATAACCCTAATCCTATTTCTTCCCCATGGGAATCATTTGTTTGTTCCTTCAGAATTTTGTTCTTCAGTGCATAGGAATCCTATTAATCCAACATTCCCTGAAGAATACTAGGCCTTGGGATCCTGTTCTCTCTGAACTGTTCAAATCTACTCCCTCAAAATTTAGTGCATGTCCCAGAATATGCTCAACTTTCCTCTCCATATCTACCATAAACACTATGATAATGTAGCCAATTCCTCCCAAAGTTCTGACCATTTATAATTTCCTCCTAATTTGGTATAATCAAGTTAGGAATAGTTCCTTTCATCATCACCTCCTGCAGAATGAAATTATTCTCAAAGCTAGTCAATAATCTCTCAAATGTAATATCTTTTGGAAGAAGAGCCATAGCAGATGGCTAAATGAAGATATCCCCCATCATTACAGACCCAAAGATTCAGAACTGGAAAGGACTTTAGATGTCTAATCTAAACTCTTCATTTTATAAATAAAGTAATTGAGGGACAAGAGAATTTGAGTGTCTTGCTCAAAATCATAACACTAAGTGTTGGGGCTGGGATTTGAACCCAGATCCTTGAATTCCAAATTCAGCACCCAGTTACCCAGGTTCAAAAACTGGGGTGCCGTTCTCAACTCTTCACTCTCCCTCATCCCATACATATAATTGCCAAATCTTGTCACTTCTACTTCCACATCTCTTGTATACATTGCCTTTTCTCTCCACACATATTCAGGTGCTTATCAACTCTAATTTAAATTACTGAAATAGCTGGAGTGCTGCTCTCTCTACCTCAAGTCTCTTTCCATTCTTCCCATAGCCATCAAAGTGATTTTCCTAAAGCACAGGTCACCTCCCTAGTTAATAAACTCCAATGCCTCACTAATACCTCTAGGATCAAATAAAGTGTTTGAAATGTAAAACTCTTCACAACTTGGCCCCATCCGACCTGTCCAGACCTACCTTAATCCCCTTCATACACTCTACAGTCCAGATGGTCTGGGCTCCTTATTGTTACACCTCACACATGACACTCCACACCCTGTCTCTGTGCCTTTGCCTGGGATGCCCTTGCTCCTCACCTCTGCCTCTCAGGATTTCTGATCTCCTTCAAACTCTACTCAAAAGGAAACCTTGTATATACTTTGTATGTTTTGTACACGTACACACACACACACAGTTTCCTCTGTTATAATATGTTTCTTAAGGGCAGGGACTAACTCATTCTGTCATTATATCCGTAGTATGTCTGGCAAATAAGTAGAATACTTGCTGAGTTAAATCCTAAGTCTCACAGATGCCTATAAGTTCAAATTTATCTCCTAGTGTTAAGATGACTAGTTTGTTAGACGATTTCTAGTTAATTCATTCTCTGCTATTTATGAAGAGATTTAAGGCCATTACTTTATTACTGCCTCTTAGTCACTGTCTCCTATGAATTACTGGTGGATTTTCTACCATTATTACATCACATCTGCTACTCTCTGATATCTGGCCTTAACAGATGTATACGGTAAGTTTTCTCTCTATTTTCAAGTCTCCTTGAAGTTCCAGGTTGTCCTTAAGTAGATCTATAGTCTCCAGGTAATTTTACTCTTCCTGCCCTTATTAAATTCAATTCAGCTATCATTTATTAAATGGGAAATACATGCAAGGTACTGTGCTGGGTGCTAAGAATAGAAAGACAAAAAATAAAACAGTCCCTGATCTCAAGGAGCTCACACTCTACAGGGGATCATGACATGTATAGAGTTAAAGGTATAACAAGGCCAGTTGAGGAGGGAGAAACCAACAATAACTGGGGAAATGAGGACAGGTTTAGTGTAGGAGGTGGTCTATTAGCAGAACTCTATAAGAATTCTAAGAAATGGAAATGAACATGGAGTACATTTCTGATACAGGAGACAGCCTGGAAATGTAAATGTAAAGCCAACTTCAAAGGCAAGTTAATAGGTCAATTTAGCTGGAATGCAGAGTGCATGTAGGATGTAGGTACCTTAAATTCCAGGATAAAGAATTTATATTTTATAAAAAGGCAATAGGGAATCACAAAGATTTTTAAGGGAGTAATATAATTAGACATATGATTTGCGAAGATTATTTTGGAAGTTGCGTGAAAGATGGTTTTTTGAGGGGTGGAGGGAAAAAGATTAGAGGTAGGCAAATATACTCTTCCTACTCTAATCAGATGCATTCCTCCCCTGGTCAAGAACCTATTACATAGCTTTGAACCTACTTCAGTTAGGAACCAGCGGAATCAGGCTCTTCAGCAACATTCTTACTTTATCATTCATTCCTATTATTTGCAACTCAAAGAGATAAGTGAGAAAGTTCCACGGTTACAAAAAGAATCAAGACTCTCCTCTAGCAGTAGTACCTTTCAAGTGCAGTCATGGGAATCTCAAAATCCAGAGAAGGCACAATAGGGATCATGTACAACTCACAGAGATGTGGCAAGGTCACAATTACTCCAAAAAAACACTAGAAAAACCTTTCACCTTCTTGATTGTGCTGCTGGTTGTTCTCTTTGGCTTTGGCTTGCTGAATCTCAAGCTGCTGCATCAAAATTTTATTTTCTTCTAACACAAGCTGGGCCTGAGTTTGTAGCTGATGCCTGTAGACATTTACAAGAAAAATATCTTAATTCCACTACTCAAAAAATACAAAGATAACCAAGGTCTAAGACAGAGGTGTCAAACACTCCCAAATGAGGCCCAAACCAGATTAAAATGTAACTTGGACATATATAACAGAATAAAAATGCAATAAAACATAGCTAATATTATTTTAAAATTGAGTTAATGTGCAGCCCACAGGGATCCTCATGAACAGATTAGTAATCCTCATTTCTTTTTGAGTTTGATACCACTGGTCTAAGAGATAGCACTGAATGTATTCTGAGTAATGACTAGACATTTTTAATATAATTATAGTTTTACTAATTACTACTAAACCTGGTTAATTTGAACTATAGTGGATGAAGACCTGTAGTAAACTAAGAACAGCAGAATATATTTAAAATTTTTTCAGTTCCTATTTTAAAGAGCAGAAGACTCCTTTATAATTAAGAATATATACCCATTTGAAAACATTTAATTTTAAGTCTTTAAAAATAATTTCTTAAAAGTTAAACAGGCTCTGATAATCTTATTTGCAGTATTAAAACCATTTCCTCATAGTACAAAAGGAAATTTTATCTCAGCCCAGGGTGAATAATCACAAATACAAATTCGTACAGGCAGAATTAAAGAGACTCTGTTATGATGACACATTTATATAGTGCTTTAAGGTTTACAAAGTGCTTCCTTCACCACAACCCAGTGAGAGATGTAGTGCATGTAAGTATTTTCTCCATTTTGGAAACTGAGGATTTAAGAGGTTAAGATTTGTTCATAATATGTAACACACACACACACACAATTTGCCACAGATGTTATGATATATTATGATCCAAGGTAGTATGAGGATTTGTAATAATACAGCTAGACAAGGTCCCAAATTCTTCAAACAATATTACAGCAACTATGGTTCACAGTAAAATAACCTATGGGAGAATTTTTTGGTATATCTAAGTAAATGTTAACCAGGTCCTGAATTCATTCAGATTACTCCAAAACATCAGCTTTTTTGAGAATTTGATCTAACGCTGTAAAAAACCAGATAAACCTTGTTCCTTGTTACTTAACTACTTAAGTAGTTAGTTAACTACTTATTTAACTACTTAACTAGGTAAGGCTACTTAACTAATAGTGCAGGACAAGAATTCCAAAGATATGGATTCAATGAACCCTGTACAAGAGCAGTGAAAACCTCAACACAAATATATCACATGTGGCACATAAAACAATATGATTAACAAATTCTGTTCATATCAATTCTAGTTCTTGATTTACTAAAAAGATTTAAGTATTTCCATAATGATACAATGTGTAATATAACTATCAAAGATACAAAGGGCAGAAATGAACATTAGTTGGTTCTGTGTATTGTCTTATAATCTTTATAATGCCATTTTCCCCTTTAATCAGAAAAAATAATTTAAAAATGAAAATATATAATATATAACATACCATATAAATATGTACATATTTATACATTTATAAATATAAAACTATAAAAAACATAATTTTCTTATCAAAGCTAAGGATTGTATCCCAAAGAGATAAAAGGAAAAGGACCATATACACAAAAATATTCATAGCAGCTGTTTTTGTGATAGCAAAGAATTGAAAACTGAGAGGATGCTCATCAATTGGGGAATGGCTAAAAAAGTTGTCATATAAACGTTACAGAATTCTATTGTACTGGAAGAAATGATGGAGATGACTTCAGGAAAAACTGGGAAACCTGTACGAACTGATGCAAAGTAAGAACCAAGAAAACAAACTACAGAGTAGCAGAAATATTTTTAAAGATAATCAATTTTGAAAGACTTAATAACTCAGATTAAAATAATGAGCAACCATAATTACAAAGGATTCATGATGAAACATGCTATCTTCCTCCGGAGAGAGAGAGACAGCTGATGGATTCAGAGTTACAGACTAAAACATTTATCTTTTCTTTCTTTTTTTTCTTCCTTTTTGGAACATGGCTAATGCAGAAGCTTGCTTTGCATGATTATATATATTTGTAATTGAGTTTTTTTCCTTGCCTTCTTGTTGGGTGGGGAAAGGAGTAGAGGTAGGAAGAGAATTTGGAACTGAAAATAAAAGAATAAAAAAGTAACTGTATTAAAAAATTTTAAATTAAAAAATATTCAAGAAAATATTCTTTAGAATATGTAAGTTAAAAAGTTATTTCAAGTATCTTTTTAATTCATGCTTTCCTGGCTTTTTTCCCTCTTAAATCTTTTTCAAATTTATCAAGAATGGCTCATGTGAGCAATAAGATAGAATACTAGAACCTCTCCAATCTCCCCAAAAGAGAAATGATGTAACAAAGATAAAGCAACTTCAGCTGTCTCTACTGGTCAAGAACACCCAGAATACAAAAAAAGGTTTTAAAAATGAACCCCCTACCCATTAACTGATGCTCACTAAACCTGAGCTCATTCAGCATCCCCTCTTCCAGGTCCCATGCTATCATTAGGAAGGTTGCACCAGTAGACTGAAGGACATGACACAATAAAACCTATTCCCATACCCCAGTCCAATCTCCCAAGCCCTAGGATACGGAAATCTGCCTTGGCTATGACAGATAGAAAGCTGATGCTTGGCTGGAGTCCCCCCGCCTCTTTGTTTTTAATTCTCTTTTTTTTTTGGCATTTATTTATTATTTAATTTTTCCCCAGTTACGTGTCAAAACAATTTTTACATTTGTTTTTAAAACTTTGAGTTCCAAATTTTCTTCTTTCCTCTCTTCCCACCCCACCCCCATTGAGAAGGCAAGCAATTCCATATGGGTTATATATGTGTAGTCGTGCAAAACATATCCATAATAGTCACACTGTAAAAGAAAACAGACAAAAAAAAACTCAATAAAAATTAAAAAAAAAACCGTATGCTTCAATCTGTAGTCAGACACCATTAGTTCTTTCTCCGGGGATGGATAGTATTTTTCATCCTAAGTCCTTCAGAGTTGTCTTGGCTTGTTGTATTGTGTCATTCATGGCTGATCATCTTCCAATATTGCTGTTACTTTGTACCCAGTACAAAGTACTGTACCCAGTACTTTGCATCAACCCATGCAATATTTCCAGGTTTTTCTGAGAACATCTTATCATCATTTCTTAGAGTACAATAATATTCCATCAAAATTACACACCACAACTCGTTCAGCTATTCCCTAATTGATGGGCATCCCCTCAATTTCTAATTTTTTGCCCCCAGAAAAGAACTGCTATAAATATTTTTGTACATATAGATTCTTTTCCTTTTTGCTTTTCATCTCTTTTGGGATATAGACCTAGTGGTGGTATTGCTAGGTCAAAGGGCATACACGATTTTATACCCCTTTGGGCACAGTTCCAAATTGCTCTACAGAATGGTTGAATCAGTTCACAACTCTGAAAATAGTACATTAATGTCTCATTTTTCCCACATCTCCTCCAACATTTGCCATTTACCTTTTCTTTCCTATTAGCCAAAATAATAGGTATGAGATAGTACCTCAGAATTGTTTTAATTTGCATTTCTCCAATCAACAGTGAGTTAGAATATTTTTTCATATAGCTACAGACAGCTTTAACTACTTCATCTCAAAACTAATTATCTCTTTTCATCATTTATCAATTGGGGAATGGCTCTTATTTTTATAAATTTGACACAGTTCTCTATATGTTAGAGAAATGAGGCCTTTCTCAGAAAAACCAGCTTCAGAAATTTTTTTTCATGGTTACTCCTGCTAACTATATTTCCCTCTATCCTATTCCCCCTACCACTGTTTATTCTCTTCCCTCTCCTTTCACCCAATCCCTCTTCAAAAGTGTTTTGCTTCTGACTACCCTTGCCCCAATCTGCTCTTCCTTCTATCACCCCTCCCCCTTCTCTTATCCTCTTCCCCTTCTACTTTGCTGTAGGGCAAGATAGCTTTCTATACCCCATTCCCCATCTATCTTATTATTCCCTCTTTGAGCCAATCCTTTTTTAAAAATTAATTTATTTTTAGTTTTCAACATTCACTTCCACAAGATCTTGAGTTCCAAATTTTCTCCCCATCTCATCCCTTCCCCCACCCCAAGATAGTGTGCATTCTGAATACCCCTTCCCCAATTTGCCCTCCTATCTCTCCCTCCTCCTTTGAGCCAATTCTGATGACAGTAAGGTTCACTCACTCTCCCTCACTTCCCCCCTCTTCCCCTCCATTTTAAAAGCTTTTTCTTGACTCTTATGTGAGATAATTTAGCCCATTCTACCTCTTCCTTTCTCCTTCTCCCAGTACATTCCTCTCTCAGACCTTAATTTTATTTCTTAGATACCATCCCTTTACATTCAACTCACACATGTGCCCTCTGTCTATATATACTCCTTCTAACTACTCTAATAATGAGAAAGGTATTATGAGTTATAAATATCATCTTACCATGTAGGAATGTAAACAGTTTAACTTTATTAAGTCCCTTATGATTTCCCTTTCCTGTTTACCTTTTTATGTTTCCTTTGAGTCTTGTATTTGAAAGTCAAATTTTCTATTCAGTTCTGGTCTTTTCATCAAGAATGCTTGAAAGTCCTCTATCTCATTGAATTTCCATTTTCCCCCCTGAAGGATTATACTCAGTTTAGCTGGGTAGGTAATTCTTGGTTGTAATCCTAGCTCCTCTGCCCTCTGAAATATCATATTCCAAGCCTGCTAATGTAGAAGCTGCTAAATCTTGTGTTACCTGACTGTGGCTCCACAATACTTGAATTGTTCCTTTCTGATTGCTTGCAATATTTTCTCCTTGACTTGGGAACTGTGGAATTTGGTTACAATATTCCTGGCAGTTTTCGTTTTGGGGTCTTGTTTGGAAGGTGATTAGTGGATTCTTTCAATTTCTATTTTACCCTCTGGTTTTAGAACATCAGGGCAGTTTTCCCTGATAATTTCTTGAAAGATGATATCTAGGCTCTTTTTTTTTTTGATCATGGCTTTTAGGTAGTCCAATAATTTTTAAATTATCTCTCTTGGATCTAT